CTGCCACGTCTGGCCCAGCCACCATCATCCTTACCTGCCCCACGGATCTCTGCTTCAGCCCTCACCCACCAGAAACTTCTGCACTGAAGCAGGGGATCCTGCCACTGTGTTTCCCAGAACCCTCCTGGGGTACCTCCTCAGCATCCCTACCTCTCCCTGCACCCTGCTCCCTTCTTTGGGCTCCAGCCACGGGCAAGTTCCCACCTGTCCTTTGCCCCTGCAGTCCCCTCTGCCCAGCCCACTGTTCTTCCAGATACCCACCTGTTTGCATGCTCCCCACCCCTATAGGTCTTTGCTCCAGAAGCCCCTTCTCAGAGGATTCTCCTGACCACCCTCAGAAACTCAGAGCCTGGCCTGTGCGCACTTGGGTCATCCGGGGGGCAGAGGTCAAGGCAGGGCTCACGGCTCAGAAGTCAGTGGGGCTGCCTGTGAATGATAAAGGGGCAGGAGAGGAGACTTCGCCTGCACAGAGGCAGCCGGAAGGAAGGTGGGTCGGAAGGGCAGGCTCCTTGAAGGAAGGGGCAGCCGGCCGCACAGGAGCCTGAGCACATAATGCCTGCAGAGGGGTCCCATACAGCGACCAGGCCCCGTCCCGACGTGCTCAGCCCCAGGGGAGTTGCCTGGGAAGAAGCCACTGTCAGCGGTGGCCCAAGGTGGCAGAGGCCATCACGCTGCCCTTCTCAGGGCAAGTTCTACCTGGAAAGAACGTCCATACAGCACTTCCTTCTTCTGACGCAGCTCCTCTCCCAGCACGTGGGGCTCCTCCAGTGCCCTCACCTCGGTTCCTGGGGGAGACTGACAGGAAGAGGTGGGCAGGTGAGCTCAGCCCCCAGCTGCCGCCTCTGCAGGTCTTGGGGCCCTGCCTGAGGGTGTGACCACCCACATTCCTGGGGGTCTGAGCCCCGGGACTGTTCCTGTTCAGGCTGGGGTGGCTGAGCTGGACATTCGCAGTAACTGTCACACAGGGGGCATCATGGCGCCAGGAGGACCCTGCGTGCCAGCAGCCTGCCTCCTGTTGACAGAACGCTGGTCTCTCCACCTGTCAGCTGCTCCCTAGGTCTGGGGGGCTCACGGTGCTGGGGAGGCAGCCACAGCTGACAGGTCCAATGGGACTCTTCCCACGTCCCCTGGTGAGAGTGTGCCCATCGGGGAGGGGACTGTAGCCCTGCAGAGCCCAGAGTATGCCACTGGGTCGACTCCTGTGCTCTTCCTGTTGGAAAGGCAGTGCCATATAAAGGCCTCTGGTTAGTTACACTGCACCCTGCACCATGCAGCATGGCAGCCGTCCTGCAGGCACTCAGCCACACTGGGAAGCCTTTGGCAGGGTCCCTTGCCAGGAAGCAGGCCCAAGGCTGGGCTTCTGGGCCTGTGGATCTGGCCTCCATGAAGCCCTGGATTGTGGTGCAGCCTCTGTGAGCAGGGAGGCCAGGGCACAGCTGGGCAGGCATATGAGGACCGCCTGGCGTGGAAGGGCCCAGTGTGGTTACCTCACCACCAGGGGGCGATTTGTTCTCCTTGAAGAGCATGCTTTGCGGGGGCTCAGGGCTGCTCTCTTTTGCTGGCAGGTCAGACACTGAGATGAAGCAGTAGCCAGATCGGCCTCAGCAGGTGGGGGGCACGCTCCCAGCCCACCTGGCCTCTGGCATGGCCACTCCGTCTGTGCTAGCGTGCCAGCTCTGGGGTGGCCTATGACAGGGCTTGCTAAGCCACCTCTCCCTGGTGGATGCTTCCTGGTGGGTGTTTGCTGAACACAGAGCCCTCGCGCCAGTGCCCACGTGTGAGGCCCTGTGGTTCCAGCCCTGAGCTCTTGTCTCCACCTCAGTCCCTTTCTTTCCAGGCCCTAGCCAGCCCACCAGGACACTGACCACAGATGTTCATATCAAATCCACAAATAGTCTCACCTGGGCCACATCCCTGTCCACACAACAGTATGACCAGGTGCTTGATGCTCCCCACCCCTGGGAAGATGTGTCCATCAACTCAGCTCTCACTCAGCAGACCCCAAAGGTGATGCCACTGGGGGCTGTCAGCTCACAGCCCCTCACACAGCAGGTTCTCTCATGAAGGGAAGCTGAGGGGCACTCCACAGGCACCACAGCCCTGGGCCTGTCACTCTGCATCCCTTCCTTGTGTCATTGCTCTCCCCAAACTTACAAACATCTGGCATACGCATTACTGATGGCCTGCATGCGTCTGCCTCCCCACACTACAGCCACTTGCCATAGTACCTGACATTTCGTAGGCGCTTGATGAGACCTTGTTGAATGGATGGTCCACCCGTGGCTGAGCCATTTCCTATGTGAGGGCTTGCAAGGGATCTAGTTCTGCTGACCTGGCTAAGGCTTGTGTGAATGGGACATTTGCCCAATGGCCATCTTGTTGGACTAGACATTTTGCACCCCAAATGCCATCTGTTTCAACAAATGGATAAACGGGGGCCCCAGGTCACTCTCTCTGGGATGGGGGGGTGTCTGAGTGAGTCAAGAGCAGGGGCGTGGCCTTGTTCCCAACCCTTAGTCAGCCTTTCCCAGGGTCTGAGGTTCTCTGGCTTCCCAGAGACGGGATACCCACTTCTTGGGGCAGCCCTGAGCACAAGATGTCCTAAGGTCAGCCACAGGAGGGTCTGCCCCATGTACCCCAAACTCACCTTGGCCGAGTCAGTGTCCTAGAGGACACCAGGCTTCTGTCTGGCCAAGGTCAAGGTTCGGTACTTTTGCTGGCCATTAAGAGAGGGTCCTCTGGCCTTGTGTGACCTTGGGCAGGTGGCTTCCCCACTCTGTAAAGGAGTCACTCACTGGTCCTATCCACCTTGCTGGGCGAAAGGGGTCTAATGAGGCCATGTGTGTAAGTGCTCACCCTTGGCCATGGCTGCCCTCAAGCCTCTGGGCCAACCCTGAGGGCCTCAATTAACAGAGAGGGTATCTCTGCTCAGGGATGTCTGGTAACTCCCCCGAATCATACGTCTGGCCCCCAACCCTGGGTCTGAACTGAGTCCATGCTCCCTCCAGCTGCTGTGGGGCAAGGGGCCACCAAGGAAGCTCCAGAGGACTGACAGCCCCCAGGATGGCCGTGGCTCTGCCTCGCTGAGACTTCAAAGGGGCCGCCCTCTCCAAAGACTCCTCCTCGCTTCAGCCTTCCACCCTGGACAGTGAGCAACATATATTCCCCACTCCAAGGTGGGGACACCGAGGCTGGGGCGGGGGGGCTCCCAGACAGTGAGTGAGAGAGCCAGAGACCTCTCAGCCCCCAACCAACTCCAGCTCCAGAAGCCAGGTGGAGGGTGCACACGCAGCCATGATTGTCGGGGGCCTGCTGGGTCCACTCAACCTGGAGCTGCCGGCTGAGCATGGGGGACAGTGGGACCTGACTCAACACTAAAGGCACAGGATGAGCGGAGCGATGGGGCCCAGTGGCACCCCGCTGCTCACTCCAGGAGCTCTCCATCTTGGGCTGGTCTCACCACCAGCTAGCTGCCTGGCCCGTGGCACAGCCTCACCAGCCAGGTGCGTTGGGGTGGCGGGGGGAGGCTTGCTGGTGGAGGAGAAGGGATACCCAGGCATCAGAAACAGCCTGGCCAGCAAGGGCTGGAGCCACACCCCTTCCCCAGCGCAGAAGCCAGAAACCAGGGAATAATGGTCTGCTGGGAGAGGGGCTGGGCTCTCCCGCCTGCAACCAGCCCTCAGGAGGTGGTGGAGCCCAACCCCCCACTCCCCAAAGTTCTTAAAGGGCCTTGTGTGTCTAGGGGGAGGGTGATCAGGAAACTACTGTAGGGATGGGGTGCCTGTTTGTGCCAGGGCCTGGAGTCCCGTCCGCAGCTCCTCCCCACCTAGCCCGGCGGTCCCCACCCCGCCACACAGACGCGCGCACTTCCGTCCTCCCTGGGGCTTCCACAGCTGTGCGCCGCTGGCGACTGAGCGGAGAGTCGCTGCTTCCCTCCCCCTCGGGCATGTTCCCTCGCCGTCTGCTGTCTGATGTGTGTGTGTCTGACTGCGGCTCGTGGGTCCCCAGCCCGACGCTGGGTGGCGTTCCCCAGGTCTGTGGGTGTCTGTGTGCGCGTGCGGGCGTGTCTGTCTGTCTGGCTGTGTCTCCGGCTGAATCTGCCCTTGACCTGTCTATCTGAGCGCGTGCGCCTGGGGGGAGGGGGTGCTTCCCCCCCACCCGCCGCCTCCTCCCCTACCCCCTCCCGCAAGGCGCTAACGCAGACGCTGCAGCCTTGGTTGCGCCAGGAGCGCAATGACCTCGTCTGTCCCTGCAGCAGTGACCACCCCACGGCGGTGCCCGCCGGGGGTACCCGTGGCCAGGCTGCGAGCCGCTGGGCCCTCGGCCCTCAATCTGGGGCCGCCTGAGCCCCGGGTGGGCGCGCTCCCCTTCCGGCTGTGCCCGCTGGGTCCCCATCTTCCCTTATGTAACTCCACATCTGTCTGCGCCTTGCGGGTCACCCTGGACCCTACGCTGGGCCCTGCCACGGGGAGATTGAGACCCGGAGTCCCACGCATATGGGGGGTGGGGGTGGAGCGGACCACTGGCCAGGACACCCGCTCTCGCAGACCCCTCCCATCCTTTCTCTTCGGGACGTTCCTTCCCGCGAGACCTGCTTGTCCAAAGCAAGAAACAAGGCGGGTCCCGGGGGCAAGTTCCTCTGAGCGCCGGTGCGGGTGCTTACCCCCACTCCCACTCCAAGTGCCTGCAGGCGCCCCCACTGCCCACGAGGGCTGACTAGGGGTCACCGAGGTGGGTCACAGCCCAGAGACCAGCTCCTGTGAGTGCGAGCCGGCGGACAGCGGCGAGCCCCCAGCCCTGGCGCCCGCCTCGCCGGCCGGGCTCCCCGCCAGCCGCCGTGCACACCCGACTGGGGCTCGGGCGGCCGACGGGCACGCGGCGCTGTCCGTGGTGCTGCTGGCGCCGGGCGGGGCGGGGGCGGGGCGAGGGCGGCAGCCAATGGCGGGGGTGCTGCGCGGGGCGCGGGGGGCGGCGGGCTGCGCGCGGGGCGCACTCGGCTGCGCGCTGCACTCCGAGCGCACAGGCGCTCCGGTGGCGGCCCGGGCTCCCGCGCTGCTCCGGGTCCGCTCGGGCTGCCCGCGTCGCGCTGCTGCTCGCATTCGGCTGGGACTCCGCCGGCCCCTCGGCGCCGCGCTCCCCGACCCCGGCCTCTGCGCCCGCGGACCATGCGCCGGGCACCCCTGGGGGAGCCCAGGCGGGCCGAGAGCCCGCAAAGACCAGGTTCCCGCGCCGGGGCCCCTCCCGGCCGCCCGGCCTGCGGTCCGCGCCCTGGTGCCGCGTGAGCCTGGGGGGCCATGGAGCGCTCACCGCCCGACGGGCCGCTGAACGCGTCGGGGGCGCTGGCGGGCGAGGCGGCGGCAGGAGGGGCGCGCGGCTTCTCTGCCGCCTGGACCGCGGTGCTGGCAGCGCTCATGGCGCTGCTTATCGTGGCCACGGTGCTGGGCAACGCGCTGGTCATGCTCGCCTTCGTGGCCGACTCGAGCCTCCGCACCCAGAACAACTTCTTTCTGCTCAATCTGGCCATCTCCGACTTCCTCGTCGGTAAAGCCCCCAGCCCCGGCCCGAGCCCAGGAGCGCCCAGTCCAGCGTGGCCAGCGGGGATTGGAGGCGCACCTAGGGTGCCTTTTGCTCAGGCACACGCCCCGCTGAGGGCCCGACCTGGGGAGGGGGCGTCGGGACTCGTGGGGCGGTGGGTGCAGGCGAAGTTCTTTGGCTCCTCGGCTGCGGGACCCGGAAAGGATGTCCCCGGGGAAGGGGTCGCACCGCAGCTGGCGGACACGCTCAGCGTGGCGCGAGGCGCAGCGGCCGCGGGTGCAGCGCTGGCTCCTGCGCCGCCGTAGCCAAACAAAGGCTGCCGCGGACTCAGAACGCGCGGGGTGGGGGTTGGGGGGAGAACTGGGGGAGAGCTTGGGGAGGCTTGGGGGAGGGGACATGGAAGGGGGTTTTAGAGCCTTCTTGCAGGAGGGCCCCGCGGGGAAGGCGGGGAGTGGGGGGTAGGGGAGATGCTCCGAGGAGCGCGCTCTCACGTGTCTGTGCGCTGCTGCGGGCAGGGGGGCGGGGCGCGGAGGGGGCCGGAGTGCCAGACACCTGTTGGGGCTGCGAGGTGCGTCTGCCAGACGCTTGGCGGTGGGAGCGGCTGGCTTGGCCCGGCCAAGTGCCCTCTGAGTCAGGAGAAAGGCTTTCTCAGTTTCCGAGCTGCTGAGGAAGAGCTGTCCAAAGGCCAGGATAGGGGCCGGGGTCTGCGGGCAGCAGGGGGTGGGGGAGGAGGAAATCCCCTTTCTTCCTCCCTCTGGGGACTGGGAGTGGTGGACACCCAGGAGTCTCAAATCAAGGCTGGGGCTCCCCTTGTGCCCATAGGTCCCCAGCCTGGATCTTCCCTTCTGCCCTCAAGTCCAGGGACACCAGTGGGGCTGAAGGCTCGGCAGGGGTTGAAGGCCAGCCACAGGGTAGAGGGTGTGCCTAAGCAATTTGAGTGGATTGGGAGGGTAAGGCGAGGTCTGCTGACCCTAGTAAAGTAGCCACTGTATGATCCCCAGGTCCTACTGTCTCTACTGTGGTGGGTCTGAGCCCAGGTCCCTGTCCAGCTGTGGCCCAGCATGGCCCTCCTCTCCCACAGGGGCCTTCTGCATTCCCCTCTACGTGCCCTATGTGCTGACAGGCCGCTGGCCCTTTGGCCGGGGCCTCTGCAAACTGTGGCTGGTGGCGGATTACCTGCTCTGTACCTCCTCTGTCTTCAACATTGTGCTTATCAGCTATGATCGCTTCCTGTCTGTCACCCGTGCTGTGAGTCTGGGGTGCAGGTGCCCATGGTCACTCTTGGTGGGGGGTTGGCAGGAGTGGCCACAGGAGGCACCAGGCAAGGGACAGCCGCTCAGGTTGTGGCAAGCTGCCCACTTAGCAGCCATTTGCTGCCCAAAGAACGGCTCTGGGGATAGGCAAGACGCACAGTCTGGACCTGGCACCAGATATTCCTAAGGAAGGTGGGGGGGTCACTTCAGCCTCCACCCTGAGCAGGCCCAAAGTCCCTGGAGCTCCTGGAGGGACCATCTAGGCCAGAGGTCCTTGGTGGTACCTGCACAGGTGTGTGTGCACATATGTGTCCCAGGAATACACGCACAGCTCCTGGTTCCACAAGCTTCCCTTGGGGTGACTGGCTTCCAGGAGCTGGGGACCCTGGCCCCCCTGGGCTTCCTGTGTTGGTGCCGGACACACAGCCAGCAACTGGAGCAGAGGTCCCTCCTTTGGCCTCTTGTCTTCTCCCCGAGGAGCTTTGTCAGGCACACCCAGGGCCCTCTGCTGAGGTGGGGGGTGGGGGGCACTTGTGTCCCAGTCTGGAGAGGCCATGGGCCTGCTCTACGGGCCGGCCATCTTGAGCTGGGGGCACCTGTCAGGGTCAGACAGACTTGGGTCTAGCCCAGCTCTGTTCCTTGAACAACTGATGTTCCTGGGCCACCAGGAAAGTGGGGGTCGTGAAGGGACTGTGTGTGAGGTACACGAGATGTCAAAGGCTCTGAGCGTGGAGCCTGGCACAGGGCAGGCACTCAGTAGATGGGGACAATTGCAAGCCTCCCAAGGGGAGCTCACAGCTGGAGGGGGTGGTAAACAGGCAGCCTGGCACAAGGTCAGCATTCGGATTGAGCTGGGGGACTTTCTGAGGCTGTGGACAGGGCACCACCAGCCCTGATTCATCAGGCAGAGAAGGGAAAAGCGCTGCTGTGAGGGAGCTGTGCACGGCGGCCTGGAGGCTGCTGGGAGCTCCGCGTCCAGTGCTGCCGCGGGCTGGGATGGCCCGCACCCTCCTGACCGAGCTCATCTCACCACAGGTCTCCTACCGGGCCCAGCAGGGCGACACTCGGCGGGCAGTGCAGAAGATGGTGCTGGTATGGGTGCTGGCCTTTCTGCTCTATGGGCCGGCCATCTTGAGCTGGGAGCACCTGTCGGGCGGCAGCTCCATCCCCGAGGGCCACTGCTATGCCGAGTTCTTCTACAACTGGTACTTCCTCATCACGGCCTCCACATTGGAGTTTTTCACGCCCTTCCTCAGTGTCACCTTCTTCAACCTCAGCATCTACCTGAACATCCAGAGGCGCACCCAGGTCCGGCTGGACGGGGCGCGAGAAGCAGCCGGCCCCGAGCCTCCCCCTGAGGCCCAGGCCTCCCCGCCGGCAGTGCCTGGCTGCTGGGGCTGCTGGCAGAAGGGGCGTGGGGAGGCCGTGCCGCTGCACAGGTATGGGGTTGGGGTCGGCGAGGTGGTCCCTGGCACAGAAGCCGGGGAGGCAGCCCTTGGGGGTGGCAGCGGTGGGGGCGCCACAGCCTCACCCACCTCCAGCTCAGGCAGCTCCTCTCGGGGCGCTGAGCGGCCGCGCCCGCTCAAGAGGGGCTCCAAGCCGTCGGTGTCGTCAGCGTCACTGGAGCAGCGCATGAGGATGGTGTCCCAGAGCGTCACCCAGCGCTTCCGGCTGTCGCGGGACAAGAAGGTGGCCAAGTCGCTGGCCGTCATCGTGAGCACCTTTGGGCTCTGCTGGGCGCCCTACACGCTCCTGATGATCGTCCGGGCCGCCTGCCACGGCCGCTGTGTCCCCGACTACTGGTACGAGACGTCCTTCTGGCTGCTGTGGGCTAACTCAGCCGTCAACCCTGTCCTCTACCCGCTGTGCCACTACAGCTTCCGCCGAGCCTTCACCAAGCTGCTCTGCCCCCAGAAGCTGAAGACACAGCCCCACAGCTCCCTGGAGCACTGCTGGAAGTGAGCTGGCACCAGGGGTGCCGGGGTAGGGCCTCCCCACTGCGCCCCACTCAAGGCCCTGGTTTCCTGGGCATCTGGGCCACGCTATCCCACACCTGGCTGCCCCCCATGGGTGAGCCACACCCTGTCTCCAGCCCACCCTCTCTTAGACCATCCGACAGCAGTGGAAGCAGCTTGGCAGGATGGCCAGAGGGGCCCTCACTGCGGGCACTACCACCCAAATCCCAGCTCCGCCCGGGGTCCCCGCCACGCTGTCCACCCATGTGGACAGTACGACGGCCAGCGGCATCCCCCCTTGCGCAGTTACTGCGTGGTGTTCTTCCCGTAGCAAGCACATGGTGTGCGCTCTGTGCCCCCTGCCCGGCGGTCAGCCTGCACGTGCATATAGCCACACACACCTGCCCACCCCCCTGCCCCTGGTGAGCCCAGGCCACCAGCTTTGCTCCCCTGCTTAAGCCTTGGGCCCAGCTCCTTCATCTGTCTGCCCCCGACCCTCTCCGTCCCCAAAGTGCCAAGTCCCCCCAGGAGCCTCGGGCCATTCTCTGCTTTTCATTCTGGATGTTTCAGGAAGACAAAGAAGAAAGCACGTCCGTGAACCCTGTGTTCCTTGGATGTTTAATCAAGAGACAAAATTGCTGAGGAGCTCAGGGCTGGATTGGCAGGTGTGGGCTCCCACGCCCTCCCTCTCGGTTGCCGCTTCCGGCTGAGCGGCGCCAGCTGCCTCTGCCCACCCCGCCCCCGGGCTCGGGGTGCTGGGCCCCAGCCGGCGGACGGGCAGCTCTGACTCCGGCCGGCCGGGCAGGACGCCTGCTTCCCAGAGGCTGCCCCTCCAGCTCTGCGGCCCCACTGGGGGTCCTGGGGTTGGTGGGGAGGAGGGGCCCCGGCCGAGCCGGCCGAGCCCTGAGGTCCCCAGGCTGGTGCGGGTGCCCCGTGGAGGGGCTGCTTTGCCGCTCCCTGTGCCCAGTTGGCGCTCTGCATGCCCTGCTCCCCGAGCCCACTGTGCTGCCCCGCAGACCCTGAGCCCGCAGTAAAGCCTATTTTTTTATTGGTGCTGATTCCTGAGGACTTTATGGGGTTGGGCTGAGCTCCGGGGCCTGGAACACACATCGACATCGCAGGTTCACTCCTCACCCCCCGTGCGCCTGTTCAGATGGGTGGTGTGGCTCTGGACTTGCCAGGGGGCATGGGAGCCAGAGCTGAGCTCCAGACTGGAGGGGAGGGGAGAGGGCGAGGGAGGGGCGTCATCTCAGGTACAGGGACCATGCTGGGCGAAGGCCTGAGATGCACTGAGGGTGACAGATGGGGACGTGGAGAGGCCTGGCAGAGGATGGTGCAGGTGAGCCTGCACCCAGCAATCGGTCCTGCAGGCCTCACGGTTGGCGTGGACACGGCCCTCACCCAGGTGCTCAGAGTCCACTTAGAGAGGCCATAAGACTAGCCCAACTGAGGGGAGATGTCACCTCAGGTGGGTTACGTGAGGCCTCCTTCGGGAAGCCGCCTCTCCTCTCTGGTGCTGTGGCCCTCCCTGCCCTGCCCTGTTCCCTCTGCCTGTGTTGGCCCTGCCCCCACACCCTGTCTTCCCGCGGGTGCAGGTAAACGCCCACCCATGCAGTCTCGCCTGCTCATGGCATGCACAGCCGGGCGCAGGGGCTCCTGTCTGCAGGTGCGCAACTTAGGTCGCCTGTGCAGGCGAGGGGCTCACTGTCACACTGATGCCCACGAGCCTCCCACCTCCAGACATCTCACCCCATGGCTCACCAGCACCACAAGTCTCGAGCCCCAAGAAACCTCCTCCAGACCCCCAGCTGGTACCCCTTCCCCTCCTCTGCTCTCACCCTCTGCCGTGAGGGACCCCTCTGGCCAAGGCAGGGCCTCCTCTCAGGCACCCTCTGTAGTGACCTGACATGGCCAGCTGGGGTCCCCGCAGGGGGCTGAGGGCTATAAAGAGCAGAGTTTGAACCTTGGGGCAGCAGGGCTGGGTGGTGGCAGGCACCCCAGGCACCACTACCTGGGGGCTCAGAGCTCAAGGAAGCTGGTGTAGCTCTGTGTGCCCTGCGGTGCCACCAGCAGGATAACCATTTTCACCCGCTGCCCTGCGTGACCCGCCCCAGCCCCACATAGGCGTTGGCTGAGCCCAGAGCTGCTCTGGGAAGGACAAAGGGTTGCGTCCCCACAGTGGCGGGCACTCCCGTGCTAAGAGACAGCCGGAGCCCTGGCAGCGCCTCTGCTTGGCACTGCCGAATGGCCACAAACTGGAGGGTCAGCACACAGGCTTTCAAACAGTTCTGCCTCCAGCCTTGGAACTGTGGCTCCCTGGCTGCTGCGTGGGCACTAAGGAGAGGAGGACAGGGTCGACTGGGCTCTTCTTTCAGCAAACAGAATGCCAAGGGGCTTTCCCCTTGAATCACCATGCTGGGGAGGAGACAAAGCTGGCAGGCACAGGGCAGGAGCTGAGGCTCAGCTGCTGTCACCGAGCGCCCACTGTGTGCCAGGCACTGTGCTGAGCAGCAGACAGCTGAGCAGTGAGCACGGCCATTTCTGCAGGTGTGCGGACTGCAGGGGGGTAATTGGGACCGAGGTGGGTGGCCCGGCTCCTATGCCAGGGATGAGGAGCCTGTTTGAGGAGGTGGTATTTCATTCATTCTTTCCACAGCATTCAGGCCTGAGGGCTGGAGAGAGTGTGCAGACAAAGGGGGTGGGGGTGGAGGAGCCTCAAGGCAGGAAGGGCCAGGGATGGGCAGGAGTGGGGCCGGGGGCCAAGCCAGCCTTGCTTCTGAGGAGACGAGGCATCCAGGGAGGAAGGCTTAGGCCTGGAGTTGCGTGTAATCTGGTGACCTGCCTGTAAGTGGTGGTTCAGCTATGCTGTGCTGTCAGCCTGGACCTGTGGGCAGGACCAGCTGAGGAAAGGTGTGGAGACTGGCAGAGGCATGAGGCTCAGGAGGTGGTGGTTCTGAGGCACCCGGTGACGCCTGGAAGCAGGGTTCTGCCCTGGGCACGCATGCATGGCCTGGCCCCCATCAGGGCTCTGTCGGCCCTTGTGGTGCGTGGGAGTCTGCAGCCAGGCTGGCAGCGTGGGGGACCAGCTCTCAAGGCTTAGGGGTTCAGGGTCAGCAGAGCTAGTGGGTCCCCTCAACTGGGCCTCTCGGGCTGGCACTGGCTGCATGTGCTCAGCCACCTCACCTGCCCTGGCGCTGACTCTGGCAGTGCCCTCGGGAACATACCCTGGGCGTGGCCCGGGTGAGGGTCCCTCCCAGGCTGGAATGGAGACTGTTCTCAAGGAGCCTAACGGGCAGCTCCCGATCCATCTGCCAAAGTCATCCAATGGTTCCTGTGGGGAGCCGAGGCTGTGTGGGGGTCGGCGGGGGCTCCTGGGCAGGGCCTCTGGGGCCTCGCCATGTGCGGGAGACACCAACTCCTGCCAGCCAGCCCTGACATTCGTGGCTGGCCTTGGGGGTGCAGAGAACTTTTCCACCAATGTTTAATGAGGTACCCTCTGTCCGCACAGCCACCCCGAGGGGTGCTCACACCCTCCCTTGGCAGGCAGTGGGGCCAGGACCCCGCTTCTCCCTCCAGGGGCCCTCCCCGGGGCACCACAGGGGCTGCAGCATGTGAGCTAGTCCCCACAGCACTGCACCTTCTGGGGTGCGTCTCTGCCCCAGGACGGAGAGCACAGCGGGAAAACACATCAGGAAGGACCTCAGCTCTGCAGATCCTAAGGGGGCCATGCTGGGTGCCTGCCGTGTGCTCTCCGCTGTGCTGCACATGGGGAGCTTGGAAAAGCGGCCCCAGCTGAGCCAGGAAAGTGAAGGAGCAGAAGGGAGAAGAGGAAGGGTGGGACTCGAAAGTCCCAGTGTCCAAATGCCAGACTGGCAGACTGGGCAGACACCCAGGCACCTGAAGGGGAACCCAGCCCTCTGCCCTTCCCGTTCCAGGGCCCTAAGGGGTCAGGCAGCGTCTCCTAGGCCTCCGTCTCTACCTCCACATTATAGGGTCAGCCCAGCTTGGTGGAGGCTGGAGCTGCGTCACCGAGGGACCAAGGGGCATGGCTCCCTCTGCCTGCAGCACCGAAGCTGCCTGGTGTTGGTGGCACTGCCCCGCACCCAGTGACAACCCTGCCCTAGCCTGTCAGGCAGCACCTGGGCCTCCTGTGTCCAGGTAGGCAGGGCTGGCATGAGGGAGGTGGCTGGAGCGGGCGGAGAGGGTCCCCATCGCGCCCGCCCCTAGAGGGGCCACCTCTGCCCCCTCCTGTCCTTCCCTTCTCACAGGGTGGGACGAGCACAGACCTGGAGTCAGCTAGGTGCAAGGTCATGTGAGCTGTGCCACTTCCTGGCTTGGCAGGTCCCTCAGCCCCTGCAGGTCAAACAGCCCCTCACCACCAGAGCTGGGGCAGTCAGAGGGACGTCTCTCCGATGCCTCAGACCCCTCCTGGCACATCAGCGACCAGCACAGGGTGGAGCTGATGAGGAGCTGGGGATCCCAGAGGAGGGGTCATGGTCAAGCCCCCGAGGGGCCTGGGTTTCCCCTGGAGGACGCACAGGAGCCAGCTGCAGAGTGGAAGGGGCAGTAAGGCTGGATCTGCAGGTGCAGGCAGGAGGCGGGGGGGCAGGTGGAGCCGGGCAGGGCCGCCGAGGGGTGGGCTCAGACCCTGATCATAATTAACGAAACAGCTCCTGCCTTCAACAGTGGTTCCAGGCACCACTCCCAGTGCCCTGGCTCTCGGAGGCCACCTGCTCTTCCCTCTCTGAGCTGGACGCCCCGGGCCCCTGGCTGGGAAAGCGCACGTGCTCCCCAGTGGCCCACGGCCTCTCTCTATGCTACCCTCTGCTGGTCACAGCAGACCCTGCTTGTCCTTTGGGGCCCATTCCCCCTTCACCCCAGTGGGCCGTGCAGGGCCAACCCTACCATCAGGCTCCAAGTCAAGCGTGGGTCCCAGGCATGGCCAGTCAGAATCACTGTGATAGGCTGTGGTGGTGCATGCTGAGCCCAGCCAGAGCCAGCAGTCCTGGGGCCTTGGCTGGGACCCTGGGCAGCGGGCACGCTCCTCCAGCAGGGGTTGCTGGCCCAGCAGCCTCTTGCGCTATCCTTACCAAGGCCATCCTGGGCAGGAGCACTCCTGCTGTAGCCCAGGCAGGGCAAAGGCACCCGGGAATGGAACGAGGCCACTCCCCATGTGCTGTCTGAGCACCTGGATCCAGCTTTGCCTGAAGCTGTCCCTGGATCACTTTGTTTCAAGAATCACCATATACCCCTTCCTTCCCAAAGCCAGCACAATGGAAGATTCTGTGATGTGATGGGAAGTGTCTGGCCCAGAACTGCTTGGTCCAGGCTGGCCCTCTCTTCCAGGGTCGGGGGCAGCAGATCACTTTTGCCCACAGGAGGCCTGTGTCTTTGATTAATAAACAATGCGGAGATGAGTTAATTATTCAGTAAATAATAGTTGTAGTGGTTGCTGGTGGGAAAGCAATATTTCAACACACTGGGCTCTGAGGTTAGAAAGGTCAGGAAGCCAAGGCCATAGGCCTGTGACATCGTTTCTGGCCACAGGGTGCCACCCAGGGCCCTCAGCCAGCCACTCTGCTTGGACTTAGACTCTTTACTCATTAAACAGGGCATCCCAGAGGGCACTTGGCACTGGCCCCCAGGGAGGCAGGCATTGTGTCCAGAGGCGGTGCCTCACACAAGTTAGTGAGACACAAATCTCAGAGAGGCACGAAAACACCAGAGTCCCCTTACCTGCAGGGCATGTGTTCTAAGAACCCAGTGGAAGCCAGAAACTGACCGTGGTTAGCCCTTGGCCCCTGCATATACATGCCTGTGGTAAAGTTTAACTTATAAATTGGGCACAGGAAGAGATTCACAACCACAGTAATGATAGAATAGAATAATTTTATAACCAGGTCCTGTGATAACAGTTCTGTGAACATGGTCTCTGCCTACGTCCCTCACTGCCCCGCACTCACCCCCGTGTGCTGATGCGAGATGATAAAGGGCCCAGAGCGGGGGTGGCCTGAGGTGAGAGACGCAGGCACTGACGCAGCGCCCGGCTTGGGCTGAC